GCAAGTACTTTATCAAGGTTCATCAAGCAGTTATCAAAAGAACATCCAAACACAGAAAAATCTTCCATGAACACTTCCACAAACCTTTCAACCATGTCAGTAAAAATGGCCATCATACACCTTTGAAAAGTCGCAGGTGCATTACAAAGACCAAAGGGCATTCGCTTGAACGCACACGTGCCATAAGGACATGTAAAAGTGGTCTTCTCTTGGTCCTCTAGGGCTATAGCAATCTGATTATACCCCGAGTAACCATCTAATAAGCAGTAGTACTCCTAGCCAGCTAATCTATCAAGCATTTGGTCAATAAAGGGGAGGGGAAAGTGGTCCTTCCGGGTGGCATTGTTCAATTTTCTATAATCAATGTAAATTCTTCACCCGGTGACAGTTATTGTAGGTATTAAATCATTATTCTCATTAACTACTACAGTCATCCACCTTTCTTGGGTACACATTGGACAGGGCTTACCCATTTGCTGTCTGAGATAGGAAATACAATACATGCATCGAGCCACTTAATCACTTCTTTTCTTACCACCTCTTTCATGATTGGATTGAGTCGGCGTTGTTGCTCTACACTGGGATTGTGTCCGACCTCCATGAGGATTTTGTGCATGCAGAAGGCTGGACTAATGCCCTTAATGTCATACATAGTCCACCCAAGTGCTCGTTTGTGCTCACGTAGCACTCTCAACAGCTTTTCTTCCTATAATTTAGACAAGTCAGACGGGACAATAACAGGTAAAGTGTCAGAGTCACCCAAATAAGCATATTGCAGGTGAGGTGGAAGGGGTTTAAGTTCCAATTTTGGGGCTTCCTCAATTGACGGCTTTGGAGGAGGCCCCTTTGGTCTATTCAAAGGCTCGAAGGGGTGCGTCCCTTGCAGGTACACACAAGATGTATCAATGATTTGCATCATCTCCTCAACCTCCTCATCAACCCCAGGCTGTTAAATAACATAAGTGTTTTTTCTAGAGAATCGTCTAGATATACATTCGAATAATGAATCTGCTCATCGACCTCAATAACAGATATTATTGACAGCTCCTCATAGTGGCGAGGAAGTTGGATTGCTCTGTAGACATTAAAAACTGCTTCCTCTTCATCTACCCTCAAAATCATCTTTCCCTCTCTTACTTTGATAATTGCATCACCAGTAGCTAAGAGAGGTCGCCCCAATATGATTGGAACCAGTTCGTCAGCCTCATAATCGAGGATGATGAAATCAGTAGGGAAGATGAATTTCCCAATCTGCAGCAACACATCTTCAATCACCCCTTCAGAGTGTGCTATCGATCTGTCAGCCAGCTGTAACATCACAGTAGTGGGCCTTGGAGCTCCCAGGCCCAGTTGCTTGAACAAGGACAGGGGCATTAGATTTATGCTCACCCCCAAATCGCAAAGAGCACGACCCACATCAATATTGCCAATGCGCACAGGAATCGTGAAGCTGCCAGGATCCTTAAGCTTTTGAGGGAGCTTATTTTGGACCCTTGAAGTGCACTTCTCAGTAAGTGCCACTGTCTCAAATTCAGTTAATCTTCTCTTGTGAGCCACTATATCTTTTATGTATTTAGCATACTTTGGAATTTCACGAAGCACATCAACAAGTGGGATATTCAATTGAACCTGGCTCAACATAGAGAGGAATTTTGTGAACATGCGATCATCATTCTTTTTCTGCAATCTCTTGGGAAAAGGTGGTGGTGGTCTTGGGGCCTCCACTGGCTCTGAAATTTCAGCAGCATTCTTTGGCTCTTGAGTCACTTTAGGGATCATCTCTCCCTCAGGTATGGGCTTGTCTTTCTTTTTTCTTTGGCATTTCCTCTAGCTCCCTCCCGTTTCTAAGTGTAACTGCATTCACTTGAGGGTTCTTTTCTGTATCACTGTGGAGGGCGCCTGCAGGTCTAGTGTTTTGATTTGTTGCTAACTGCCCCATTTGGCTTTCAAGATTTCTAAAGTCAGTCCTGAGTTGCTGATTGTCAATCAACAACTTCTTTAGCAGATCATTGGTACTTTCTTCCATTTGTTGGGGTGGTCTATGAGGCTGATTGAAATTCCCTTGGGGTCTATGCTGATTCTGATTCTGCTGATTTCCACCCCATGAGAAGTTGGGATGATTCCTCCAATTTGGATTGTAAGAATTCCCGTATTGTGCATGCTCATTCGGTGGACCTCTGTTCTGTTACCCCACATAATAGATGGATTCTGGATTTGTGGGGCACATATCACTCATATGACTGTCGTCACAGAGTTCGCAGCAAATAGTCATTTGTTGAACGTGTTGCATTGTCTGTGGTTGCTGCATTATTATCCTAGTCATCTAATTGGTCAGCTTTGCAATATCGGCTCTCATGGCTGACACTTCGTCTAATTCAAGTAACCCAACTGATTTTTGCTTAACTACCTTTCATGAATCACCCTCACCTTGTCAGTTATTATTATTAGCAGTGAAGTTATTCAGCAAGATTTGGATTTCACTGTACGGTCTGACCATGCAACTACCCCCACAAGCTGAATCAAGATTCATCTTTGAAGCATCATCTAACCCATCTACAAAAGTGTGACCCAATACCTCGTCCATCTGGCAATGATGAGGACAGTCTCTAAGCATCTTCTTGTACCTTTCCCATGCTTGACGCAGTGTCTCGCCAGCTCGTTGTTTAAACCCAAGAATTTGACTCCTCAATACCTTTGTTTTCTTAATGGGGAAAAACATGATTAAGAATTTTCTCGCCAGATCATCCCAAGTGCGGATTGAATTTGCTGGCTCTTTATTCAACCACTCCTTAGCTTCCCTAATCAGTGAAAAGGGGAAAAGTATCAGCTTGACATAGTCCTTGGAAACGTTCGGATAGTTGTAGGTATCCGTAATTTCTAAGAAATTCTGAATGTGCCTCTGCGGGTCTTCATGAGGTAAACCCACAAACAGCCATGTGGATTGGATCAGCTGCACCATGTATTGTTTCAGCTCAAAGTGCCCAGTGATGTTAGGCTTCACAATAGCCTGAGTCATATTAGCCAGACTGGGCCTTGCAGCTTCAATCACCGCGCGTTCCTCATTACCTGCCATCTCAATTGGCTGTGGTTGAACTACGATGTCCAACCCTCTTTCAATTCTGGTTTTAGCGTCCACCTCCCTCCTTAATCTGTGAAGTGTTCGTTCAATTTTGGGATCGAGAGGAAGGAGATTGTTTGCGCTTATACTTTTTCACATTCAATAGAAACTCCTGTATTAACACAGACAAAGTGAACTAAGAGTTAAAACTCGAATAAATAAATAATAAAAGCTCAATTTAGTCAAGTAGCTAATTTCTAAGTCCTCGGCAACGGCACCAAAAACTTGTTGCGACCCAAAAACACTCACGCAAGTGCACGTGATCGTCAAGTAATAGAGTAGTGAGTAAAGTATCGTTCCCACGAAGACTTATGATTAACTGTTGAATGATTCAAATTCAATTTCTTTATCTACCCAAGAGATTGTTCACAAAAGAGAAATGTAATTGTTTTACTACTTAAACTATAAAGAATTAATCTAACTAAAGCAAGTAACCAAACGAATAGCAATTTCGAGTAACAAACAATAGGAGAGGATATTCCAGGGTCACAGGCATAGTTAACAATCGTGTTGTGTTCTTGGCTTAAAATGACTAATCAATTTATATGGGTTATTGATTGACAGGGTTGATATTACTCATAAGAATCTGTCGAGTTCTTACTCGCCTATTCAAGTCAACTAAATGCCTATATGTCTATGGAATTAAGATTAACAAAAACGCATTTACAATTCCTGTATTTCGACCAAGCAAGGCAATTGGGTATATGTCTATCCCAATTGCTAATCTATTCCCCGAGGCCCGGGTTCAAGAACTTGCTCTATTTTGTTCTATATGCAATCTAGAGTTCCCACTTTCGAGTTCAACTAAAGATTCGTAGATAGTATTTCACTGTTAGGTACTCAACAAAATAATTGAACGCAGAATTAAATAAACAACCCAATATGATAAACCAACTTTGTCAAATTAAACTCCAAACAACAACATTCATGTTTTACCCATGACCCTAGAATAATGGGTTCTAGCCACTCATACTAGTGTTCATCACAAATAAGTTCAATTTCATCACAAAATAGCAAAAACAAGAGAAGAAAAGAAGAACTTGATGGTCAAAACTCCTCCTTGCCTCTTCCTCTCTATTTCTTCCACTAAACTATGAAAACCTTCCCCCTTTAACCTTGGGCGAGCTTAACTTTATATAGGTTAAGTGGGTTTTTCTCCAAATTTCCAATTTTACCCCTAAATAACGTTTTTCCGGACCGGACACGCGCGAGCTCGCGCATAACTTCGCGCGTTTCTTCGTGCATGATTCTGCCTCGGCCTTTCTTACGCGTGCCTTCGCGCATTTCTTCGCGCACCTGGGGCTTGATTTCGTCCATTTTTTCATCTCGTCCTTGCGCGCACTCAACTCCGAGGGGTTGTTCTTGNGAATACAGAATTAAATAAACAACCCAATATGATAAACCAACTTTGTCAAATTAAACTCCAAACAACAACATTCATGTTTTACTCATGACCCTAGAACAATGGGTTCTAGCCACTCGTACTAGTGTTCATCACAAATAAGTTCAATTTCATCACAAAATAGCAAAAAACAAGAGAAGAAAAGAAGAACTTGATGGTCAAAACTCCTCATTGCCTCTTCCTCTCTATTTCTTCCACTAAACTATGAAAACCTTCCCATTTAACCTTGGGCGAGCTTGACTTTATATAGGTTAAGTGGGGTTTTCTCCAGATTTCCAATTTTACCTTTAAATAACATTTTTCCGGACCGGACACGCGCGAGCTCGCGCATAACTTCGCGCGTTTCTTCGCGCAATAGAAAGAGAGAAAGAGAGGAGTATGAAGAAAGTTACTAACCTAACTAGTGTAACATAACTCCCTTATAAGATTCATTTTTTGGTGATTCATTTATTTCTTAGGTATAATAACTATCTTAATTAATAGCTCTGATGTTTTGTACTTTAATACCATATAAGAGGGGAGGTGATTTGTATGGTATTCAATTTTTTGCGTGCACAGATTATAGAAGGACTTGGTTCTTCTATGTGTTCCTTATACTATTGTTGCGGAATAATAAGTGCGGAAAGTAAAGAACACAAGTATTTTTACGTTAAAAACACCTGGCTCAAAAAGTGAAAAAATCATGACCTACTATTCGGTAGGATTTTCCCCAACACTTCACTAAATTACTGAGCCAAACAACATTTACAAAACTCTTTGTAAACCTAAGTATTACCTCTAATCCCATTGTGGCAACCAGCCTCTAACTGTTGCGACAATTTTAAGTTAACTTTAACTTGAACACAATACTCAAAGTACCTAATACAGTTGCTTTTAGATAAAGCTGAAAGGTACAACTCAAAAGCCCTACTACAATTGAACTAGGGTAAAAGACAGACACTTGGAACTGGTTATTCTATCTTGTTCATGTAGCTTCAGGTTCGCACACTTCAATCACACAAGAATTTCTTGCAAAATGCCTTGCTATTTTGCTCCCAACTCACATGTAACTTCAGCGTTTGTGCGTAGCTGTAAAGTGAGAACATCCTGAAATATATAGAGTTAGCAGTATAGGAAATAACTAGAGTTCCAATGCTATACTCTTCCTTGGTGGAAGAGTTCTAGTTATCTTCAACTTCTAACTCTTCCTTTATTTTGGTTAGTGTTTTCTTCGAGTAAGAAGTCCTTCTCCTTATCAATCATGCAACCTTTTTATTCAAGAGATATCAGATATAACCACTCAAACTTATCTCCTTCACGTGTATGCCTTGTGCTCGAATCTGCCCGTTTCTATGTACACTGTGTATGGACCTGGTTCATAATTGAGTTCCTTTGTCAATCAACAAAACAAATTTCACTTGGGCCAACAAATCCCCCTATTTGATAATGACAAACTTTGTGCTTTTCATAAGCATATGCCCTATGTCAACTCAACTCAGCATCAACATAATGTTAGAAAACTTTCCATTTTAAAGTCACAAATCATCAAGTACTAGGTTCATTAGATTATAAACATCACAGTACAAAGTAAAAATCACACCCTATCTTCCCCCTTTTGGCAGGAATCACCCATAGAGGTGGCAGTGTTAGTTGAGCATGAGATACCCCATATGGCAGGTCGCAAGTTCAAAACCCCTTACATGTTTTCTTAGTCGAGCTTGTCGCATGTATTGGAGCAAAATTTACTCAGAGCGCACCCGAATAGTGATAATAGGCAAAATCTAGGTGATTTAGCTATTGTTTATGCTTCCGCTTGATTATATTCCAATGACATATTATGGTTAATTGATGAAAAATAGGCTTTAATTGTGATATGTATACCTTGCAGGATGAGGAGCCTATATGATGCTTTCAAGAGGATATTGGAATGATGTATGAGCAAGAACAACCCATCGGAGTTGAGTGCGCGTAAGGACGAGATGAAAAAATGGACGAAATCAAAAAATGCATAATTATGTTAGATAACTAGATTTTAATAGATATTACTCATGGCCACTGGGGCTACTTCAAATGCAATTATGGAGTCAAGCATCATTTATCAATCTAATAATATTAGCCATCTAAGAAGAATCAATAAATAATTAAAGCACAAAAACAATTGATTATCATTGATACTAGTCATCCACAAAGCATAAAGAGAAATAAAAATACTGGATCATGAACAAAAGAAAATCTCATCCAGGTCACTGGTTTGTCTAACTAGGCTAGAAAGGTCTTAAG